CAGCCAGCCAGCCAGCCAGCCAGCCAGCCAGCCAGCCAGCCAGCCAGGCAGGCAGACAGACAGACAGACAGACAGACCAGACAGAGCGAGAGAGAGAGAGGGAGCGAGGGAGGGAGGGAGAGAGAGAGAGAGACAGATACCAAAACAAGGATCGCGTATGAATCGCAGAAGGAATCAGAAGGAGCACCTGCCAAAAGCGCGTTCCGTTGCAGGAGATCCCCACAGAGATCAGCCACCAACCTTCAGCATGCAAACTCCCTCTCTCTCTCTCCCTCTCCCTCTCCCTCTCTCTCTCTCTCTGTGACTTTTTTTTTGGTAAGTGAAACTTGGTCCTTCAATGCTGCAATGTGTTCTGAAGAGTTCTGAAATGTTCTACCTTTGAAGCACTGACACTCAACTACTCCAGCTGCATATAGAGACATGACCAAGGGGTTGGCCAGTCTGGGAAGTGCCAAAGAGTTGCCTCGGCCATAGCGCGCAGGTAACGCTCAAGCAACTCTCCAGCAGCGCTCAAGCAGCGCTCTCAGCTGACGTGTTTCAGCGACAATTTTGATCGTTGAGCCAGCAGCTGCACCCAAAAGTGCGGAGCCCTTCCAGGAGGAAGACCAGTTTCTTCCGCTGCCCTGCCTCAAGCATCTCAAGCGTGTAGCTTGTAACTTTGGAGCAAATGGGCATGTCCAAAGAATTGTAAGCTTCAGTCGAAGAATTTCTGAGCATGGACCAAAGACTGCAAATGATGCATCTGCCTAGAAACAGGAGATTATTTGCCGACTCTTTTGGCGGTCGAAAGGGGAATATGGCTCCAGTGAAACAAACACTCCCCGCACCTCTCGCTTCAGCCTCTGTGCACCAAAAACAAAGGCAAAAAGCCAGCCTTCCGCCTTCCGAGTCTGTCTGAGCTGCAGGCGAAAAGGAAAAGCATAAGTGGCCGTTCCCAAAGCCCGCTTTGACCAGAGACTGCAAGAAATCCTCGAAACGGACCACTCAAGGATCACTTGAGCAAACTGTCCATGTCTTTCCAGGTCTACAGTACCGTCCCACTTCCTGTCGCACATGGGAGAGACCAGGCAATCCCAATCCAAGGAGACCATCGAAGGTGCTCAGGTCCAGATCTTGGACTGAACTTGCCACCAGAAACTCCTGGAGTCCATAAACAACATAGTACAACCACAGAGGATATACCACTCTTTTTTAAGCCCGCTCCCCCCCTCCCTACTTAATTAAGTAGGCGCCTACTTAATCAAGTAAGGGAGAGGTAGCTAGTAGCTTCAGTAGCTACTACTTAGGATGCAGGATAGCTCACGCCGCCCTAGGGGAGCTTCCTTGAAGAAGCGCTCGCACCAATCATTTGGTTCCTAGATGTTTAGGGAACCTTAACAATCCTTAACTTCTGCTTGAAATCCCGCAATGGAGGGTTAGACGGGGAGAGGTAGCTACTAGCTACTGGACGCAGGATAGCTCACACTCCTTCAAGGAAGAAGCGCTCGCACTTTCCTAGATGTTTAGGAAAACTAAACCCTTTTAATTACATGTAATTAAGAAGAACATCGATCCTTGTGAAATCTTCTGCGATTTCACACACTGAAATGCTCCTGGTTGACACAAAGTGGCTGGGGCTGTGTGAGCAAGCAAGCACGGTCAACGCCTAAGCTCTCAACAAGCCACAATTGAGCCGGCTGTGCTTTGCTGAATAGCAATGGCCTCCAACCTAGAAGCGATGGCCTCCAACCTAATAGCAATGGCCTCCAACCTAGAAGCGATGGCCTCCAACCCAATAGCAATGGCCTCCAACCTGGAAGCGATGGTCTCCAACCTACTAGCAATGGCCTCCAACCTAATAGCAATGGCCTCCCTTTGCTGAACTCACATTACGCCTCTTTTATACAAATTGCTGCATTGCCTGCAAATGCCAAAGTTGATGCCTGTTTACACTTGCTGCATCCGGTCTTTCAAGCAAGGTTTCCATGATGATGAGTCAATGATGAGTACAAGGCCGAGCAATCCTCTGACCAATCCTTGTCCATATTCAAGCTCCACCTGATTGGTCCATAGATTGTACACATGGCAAAGCTGCACTCTTGTGAACTAAGGACAAAACTGGCTGCTTCGAGACGAGCTGCCTCATAAGAAGGCTGAGGGACTTTTCACTTCACAGTCACATCGATAGCATAGACCCATACAAGTTTCACTTTCAGTTTCTTGAATGACGTCGGGTGCGAGATGCTGCACATTCTCTTTATGTGTAAAAGAAGTATTTGAGGTTTAAGTAATGTACAGTCTCTGACCGTTTCTATTCCTTCTGTCAAGTGGCCACGTGTCCGACAGTCCCCTTGAATACCTCTCTGCCGATACCCAAAGGTCCTAGGAGTCAAAGGCTGCGAAGGCTAAACGGCACGGCTCCTTTTTCTTCATTCTCAGTAACACGGAGCATCGAGCAGAAATTGTCTGAGCAGCAAACTGAGGAGCCCGTGTCCAGTCTGAGGTTCGACATGCGTCATATTGTCGAGGGTTTCGGGTGTCCGCTGCAAGCTCCGTGCTAAGCTGCAGACATCATGCGGAAGTCTTGTTTTGGTGATCCTATCCTGCCACGATTGGACCAAAAGTGAGACCGGCCACTGGTGCAGATGAGAAATTTATTCTGGTGATGCATCTGAGCCAGCAACGATGTCCTACCAATGTACTGTATGTCCTGCAAGTCCTCGTTCAGGCAAAGAAAGCTTAGAAAACCAAGAGGGGAAGACTCAAAGGTATTCATAGCAAAACTCCAGTCAGCTATCACATGCTGCAAATGTCATGAACGGCATCGATGCGCTAGACCATGTCCCGACTGTTCTACGAGAAAGGTGAAGAAGACAACACAAGAAGAAGAAGAAGAAGAAGAAGACTCTGCAAAGCATTGACGCAATTGTGCCTCCTGAAGGTTCTGTTCAAACAGACTTGCTCCAATGCCCCTTATGCACCGAAAGGCTGGTCTTTCTTGTGGTCCTGCAGTTGAGCGCTCACCGTCCTCTCGACGCTCACCTGCCAAGTGCTGAGCCGGTAAGAGGAGCACTTACCGGTAAACATTGGTAAACATGAAATGACTCATACAAGTATCAATTCAATTGATTTCAATAGTATTGTCTAGTATGTCAGCTGTTTGAAGCCAGAATTTCGAGCTTTCTTCTGTCCTCTTCGGTTTGCTACAAAAAACGCTCTCTAAACGCGTTTTAAGCTAAGTACCTTGTGGACTCGAGGTTTAGGCAGCCATGGAATCGATCCAATCGACCAGCCCCAAGGATTGGATGCAAAGACAATGGCAAAGCAGTGTGGAAAACCTCGAGGAAGTTCAAGAACTTTGAGAAAAAACAAATGCAAGCTATTAAAAGGGGAAAAGCTTTGAAGTTCCAGATTTGGCCCGTGAAAGTCATAGAATCACATTGATATGCTATGACAATAACTATCAAACCCTCCTCCTTGCCACTCCAAAATGACTGGAGCAAACCTCTGAGACCCAGACCTGAAACTGACCAGCCTTGGGCTCGCTTGCTAGCATTTCTTGCAAGCCTGGCTTGAAGAGACAAACAAGTCCCACAAGAGACTGACAAGAATCTGGAACTACTAGCGTGGCACCTGTTACTACTAGCTTCTTGTTACTACTAGTAAGGCACCTGTTACTACTAGCAAGGCACCTAGTGGACACACAACGGATGTGAATGGAATGGGTGCCTGTGCCTTTGCAGTGGAAACTCAACAACCTTCTCCTGTGGCCAGCGGCGTGATGAATGCTTGAGTTTGTCAACTTTGTTCTGGGTGAAATGCAAAAGCAACACGAGGTTGCTGCCTCGCAGTTGTTACTACAGGTATACATCCGTAGACCACACTCTCTTGCACAATATGCCGGCAGGTATTTCCATGCACTCAAGACCTTGAAGTTGGTCACCTACATGCTCTCCCGTTTCAACTTGTGTAAGACAGCCCTGTGCACAACCTCCGACTACATTTGCTGCCATCCCTTTAACTTTTTGACTGTGTTGACTTTGACGCGATGCCTGGCCAGCTGCACATGTCAAGCAAGGCTCCATGCCATGGAGACACCATGGATGGCAGGTTCGAAGTCTGTGTGTCACATGTGTTGTCTCTTCTAACCTCTGTGTAACCTGGTTGATCCTGGTTGTCCTAAAAAGGTGTTGTTCGACCCGACCCAACGCGGCTTCTACTTGCTCTCGTCGTATCTTTGGAGATGAGGCAAGGGTGCTTCAATGCCGAACTTGGAAAGCTGTGAAAAGAACAGGCACGAAGAAATGCTCTATTAGAAACAATAAGCTACTAGGAACAAGTGCATCGCTACTAGTAACAAGTGCCTTACTAGTAGTAACAAGAAGCTATTAGAAATCCTATGTTTTGGCTGTTCTTGTGCCATGAGGGTGCCTGTGCATGAAAAGCCGCCTGTGCTTTTTGAGCACGTCTGTCAACTTGTGTCTGAATCTCATCAAGCTTTTAAAGGTGGCGGTGGCAAGTAAAGTGGCCTTGCAGATCCTTTTGCACTGAGCTAGACTCGGACAAATGGTATATCATGTCTTTTGAGAGAATCCTGTATGGATTCCACCTCGACATGCACACCTCCCGCTCCAGCTGCACAATGTTCTGAATCAGGAGATTTCAGGCCCACCTCTCAATGAGATTACGAGCTTCGCCAGCTCCTTCGCAACGCGTGAGCTTCATGCGAATGAAGTTCCAGGGAAATTCCTTCATTTTTCTTTTGCAGCCTGCAGCGGCTACAGCATGCTGAAAAGTGTCTGGCCTAGCCTTAGCCAAAGGCCCGTTCAGTTGCCGCTGCTTCTCTTGAGCAGCCTGCACCTGTCAAATTCAGCTGATGTCAGTTCATCACTTTCTTCGCTGCTCAAAACATTGAAGAAGTGGTGTGAAAGAAGGAAAAAGAACTTCTGCCAAAACAAGTGCTTGCGCACCTCTGCCTTCAGCTGTTTCAGCTGTTTGACCTCGGCTTCCAAACAAGTCTTTCCATCCATTTCTGGATTCCTTTTCCTAGCAAGTCAAGCCCATCAAGCTTGTACGCTGAGACTGATTGAAAACCTCCCTTTGCCGACAGTTTGTCTCTCTATGCATCAAGTAGCAGTTGCAGCAGGTGGGTTCCGAGCGAGCGCATCCTTCACATCCTGGATGTGCATTGGCACTTCCACCACATTCCCACGTGACTCCATCACATCACTTCGACTTACCGTGCAAGATGAATAAGTCGAAAGCCCCCCCTCCTGACTTGCTGCACGTGCCAGACCTCGAGCAAGCCTCGCATCCGAATCGCAAGATCTCGCATTGAGCGAGATCGACCCTCCACGCACCTCGACCTACTTCGCAGGTACTCGGCTGTGTAGAGGCCTTCGATTCGAGCGGCGAGACCGCTTGTCATTCGATCTCTCAGACTCATCGAGAAGACGGTCAGTCCTTTTTCTTCTGCTTCCTTCATCTCTGGGTCCGCCTGCAATAGGCGCTTGTCCTAGGTAGGGGCATCTACCTTGAGATCCACAATGCCATACATAAGACATTTTTTCATGTGTTTTCACTTTCACCCTGATGAATATTGGCAGCACAAAATCATACACTGCGAAGTGACATGAGCAAATATATGTCTTTCTCTTTTGTCAGAAAGGAAATGAAAGGAATCTAAGTGACAGACTGCAGCACTCCACAAACCCAGAACAGCCGTGAGGTCCTGCGAGGCCTCTTTGTGACGACCTTGCAAACAGGCATCAGAAAACAATTCATGGTGCTGTGCAGCCAGCTGTAGCAATCCCTGGAGTCATGTCTTAACCTGATCACTGAAACATGTAAAAGCGCTTGAGGCGTTGACCAAGGTTCTGCCGGCAGCGAGCCCGATTCCTAAGCAGCGGGCTCAGGATTCTGACTCGCTGCAATGTGTCTAACGGCTGCAGCCCTTGCCCATGGGGCAAAAAACTGGGCCCTGACATGTAGAGAGATGTGTGCAGCGGCAAGAGCTCTTGACAAATTGGCAAAAGCTCGGTCGCCTCGATTGACAAGCTCTGGCTCTCGGAACTTGTGCTGGTGGTGTTGGCAAGCTGTGTGCTCTGCTGGCACTTCACAACCATTGGACAGCTCACACAGGCCCTCTGCATCCAGAGACAAAACCTCAGATGGCTTGCAAAATCGAGTCAGGTGAGAATTGCTGCCTTTTTGATGGGAAACTAGTCTTATCGATAGGATCCATGTTCAAAGCAAACGATGCCTGCGCGGTGCTCCCGAATGCCAAGGGGCGGTGCTCTGTATGAGTGTCGTCTTTGCCTCATGCAGGCTTCAACATCAACTGTTGCTCACTGAGGGTGTAACAAAGGTCATGCCTTCTCGGAATCCACTTGTCTCCTCGGCAAAATTTCTATCCCCCATCCCCCACTCATGACACAGGCATCAGGGTCGGCATCACGGATGCTGAGTGTGACACTGTGTGTCCAGGACAAAACTTCTAATTGGCTCCAAGTGACACTAGTACCTGATCCCCTCGCTGGATATTTCGCGACGCGAACTTGGCGATGCCGGAGCTGTAGAACTCTGCAGCGGCCTCAAAATCCTTCATCGTGAAGAGCCTCAATGTCCGTGTTCAGTGAACTTCTTGTTACCACATATTACCACACAAGTGTGTACCAAGAGACAGATTGCCATTCTCCTTTGCTGCACTTCCAAACTTGAAGACCGTGTCCTTGCAAAAGCTGTTCAAACTGTTCAAACACTTTGCCCTCAGGTGGTTTGATGGAACAGCTCGTTTGGCTCATTTGCACCCGAGGCCCCCCCTTCTGCCCCCCTACTACTTAATTGCGTAGGCACCTACTTAATTGAGTAAGGGCTAAGTAAGCTGCTAGGTAGCACGCAGGATAGCTCACGCTTCCTCAAGAAGCGCTCGCACTATGCAAAAAACCCTATTCTCTCAGAGCCTGACCTCAACTGGACTCAAGAGCTCGAAGCCCTGGCGTCGAAGAGGTGCACACAAAATAGCTGGAAGAGAATAAGTGTTCGTTGAGAATTAGGAAGAAAGAGATAGAAAGAAAAAACTGCAAATAGAGAAAGAAAAAAATGTTCTGAGAAAGAAAAAGATATGAAAGAGAGAGAGAGAGAGAGAAAGAAAGAAAGAAAGAAAGAAAGAAAGAAACTGCTTGCCAATCTAAAAGAACGGTGCAATGCTCTTGACTGTCCTCCAGTGACTGCACGTACTTGATTGGTACTCCCTCCTCTTCTTCCTCCTGTCAGTCTTGCGAACAGCTTGAACTGAGAAGTGTGCGGCCACAAACGCACTGGGCAGTCACTGTGGCTTCTTGAAGAAAGAACAAGAGGTGTCGGAGAAACTGCATGTCGTATCTGGTTGAAAGGTGGTCCTGAGATGAGCTACGCGGCTTTGGGTAGAGCACATCGACAGTCTTGGCATCCTTGACACTCGCAGCATCAACAGTCTGTGCATCTGAGAAGGGTGTCCTACCTCATCCACGAAGGTAATCATAGCCCGTCGGGCACGATCTGGGCGGGCAATGCGCACGCATCGGCCACAAGAGAGCAAAGCCTCATCTGCCGCCTGGAACGAAGTGAAAAAGTGGGCTTGGAGCAACTTTGGCAATTTGCATGGCAGTCACCTATGAACCATCTTAGCCCACCGTACAGAAGAGCACACCTTTGCCGGGCTGATCTCGATCTTCTCGGCTTCGCCCTGACTTGTGCATGGAATGAAGTCTAAAGTCATTGAGTCATTTTAGTGACCTCCGCACCTCCTCGGAAACCAATGTGCCAAGAGCTGGTAGTTCATCTGCAGCCTCACTGTCACCGATGTTGAGAGCCTGAAGAAGCTCCTCCAATAAACAAGTGTGTCTTCTGTCTTCATGACAAGTGATTCGACTGAATCTATTAGAATTTTATCTCCAAGCGCTGGGTCCTGGCATTTCTCGCATGCAGAACTCCACTTGGGGTCTGGATCGCTTTCCAAGGCAGCCAAGTCATAGAGTAACCTCCGAGAGGAATTGTCCTTTGTTTCTTTCTGTCTGAATTGTTCACATCGTCACTCCTGCCAAGATCTGCAGCCAAATCATCTTGTCTGGAGACCTGTCCAGCTTTACCAATGATTTGAGATACAAAGCGTCATAAAAGGCAAAGCTGCGAGACCTCTGCAAAGCTTGAGTGTTTGCCCAACTCCTGCAAAAATCTTGAGGCCACCGGTCAATGATGCATCAACCATTGACAAAACTTGTCAAGAGTACCAAAATCCTCCAGAAACCCTCTCCGTCTCCTTAAGCAAGCTGTGCTTGAAGTTTAGCTCCAAAACTGGGCCCTTCGCAGCTCTTTGAGAAAACTCATGACTTAAGTCTGAAGGGATCGGAAGGTTGTCAAAACCTTCCAGCTTTGGTGAAGCGTTTGAAAGGTATAGGCAAGAAGCTACTAGGTTGGAGGATATCACTATTATATAGGTTGGAGGCCATTACTACTAGTAGCAAGAAGCTATAGGTTGGAGGCCATCGCTATTAGGTTGAAGCCCATTACTACTAGTAGCAAGAAGCTACTAGGTTGGAGGCCATCGCTATCAGGTTGAAGGCCACTACTACTAGTAGCAAGAAGCTACTAGGTTGGAGGCTATCGCTTTTTTGTTGGAAGCCATTACTACTAGTAGCAAGAAGCTACTAGGTTGGGGGTCATCGCTACTAGGTTGGAGGCCAATACTACTAGTAGCAAAAAGCTATTAGGTTGGAGGCCATCGCTATTAGGATGGAGGCCATTATCACTAGTAGCAAGAAGCTAGTAGGTTGGAGGTCATTGCTATTTGGTTGGAGGCCATTACTACTAGTAGCAAGAAGCTACTAGGTTGGAGG